CTGCTGAAGTTAAAGTTTGGTCAGAACAGACCATAAGAAAGAATGAAGAGTAGAAATTAAAAGCATCTCTATAGAATTCTTTTTAACCACGGAGCTGATTTCCTTCTCACAGAGAGAAGGCAATGGAACATGAAACTGCAAATCATGCGCTTAAATGGAAGAAATTCTCCAGCACTGTTTCTGTTATGGTATGAAACAAGTCTCGGTTAGCTGTCTTTTGGCCTCGTTTATTTGTCACTACCAAGTTACAGGGTAGCAAAGCACGGCCTGCATAAACAAAACAATTCCACAGCGAGCAAGTAATATTCCACCAGCATGCCATTGTTGATCTCTCAGTCACTCTTCCTTTAAAAGCCAGACAATTTAGGCGTCCCCAAATTTTCTGGGCATGCATACCATAGAATTTTCAATGTTTGTTTCGTGAACAAGTCCACAGCCTGATGACCCACCATATCATTGTGTGTTGAAAAGGACAGCCACAAGTTCGAACAACTCTAGTCGGGTGGCCCGCGATAGGACCCAGGAGAGGGAAAGGGTCCGTTTCCATGAAATAATGAAGGTGCATTTATTATAGTCGATTACAATGGTAAGATCCAAGAACTGTCCTTGATTTTGTCGAGCAAGTGAAGCATCTCAAGGCCATAGAGAGACAGACAGGAAGACAACACTAATATTTTAATTATTAAGTCAAAAAAGGTCCCTCTCTCTTAACAATCAATTCAAACTCGGTGGCTTTAGGGCCATAATCAAGGCCACCAAAGCAGTGTGAATGTTCAGACGTTAGGACGGAGGCAGAGCATGGCAGCCTTTCTTTACTTCCATATCCATCAATCACCATTTATTTTTATTTTTTTATAACAAAAATTATTCTCGAACTGGTTTGGAGGAAGAAGGAGATGCTACCATATCAAGCCTATGTGTCCTTGGCAGTGTTGTGTTAGTTTTGCATGGTTGTAGTCGGAAAAAAGGAGGTTTTAAAAAAAATATATAACTTTTATTTTTATTTTTATTAAGATTTTGAAAGGGAAGAAGAAAGTTGGCATTTACTCTTGAAAAATGTTTTTTTTCCTCTCTCGGAAAGATCTCAAACGGCCGACGGACTTAATTACCGAAATAACTCCTTGAAGCTTAAATTATTATATTATTCGAGCTGCCACTGTCCTTTGAAGGGCTGTTAAAGCTTGACATATAAGGTGGAGTTTTTCGAGCAATAGTATCAACTTGAATTTATTACATTACGTTTTCCAGGGTAATTAAAAGTGTGATGACTATTATGTATTTTTTATTTAAAATGATATATTTTTTATTTTTTAAAAATTATTTTTAATATTAACACATTAAAAAATAAAAAAAATAATTTTAAATAAAAAATTCAATTTTTTTTAGATTTTAGTGCAAACACAGCCCTGAGATTTGTTTGTTTTTATATTCTAAAAGTTTTTTTAAAATTTTAATTTTTTATTTGGTTTAAATTAATATTTTTAAATTATTTTAATATATTAATATTAAAAATAATTTTTTTAAAATAAAAAAATATTATTTTTATTCATCTCTAAATAATTTTTTTTTTACATTTCCCAAATCCTCTCGGGTTATTTTCAAGCAAGATAGAGAGTTCATCTAGAAAAGAACATGAGAGGATCCGGGTTTCGCCCCTGGAGTGTCAGAGTTAGTACTTAATACTAATAAATTAAGAAAAACAGAAAAAAAAAGGTTATTTTAATTTTTCAATAGAAGACAAAATAATCAAAGCAGCTTTTAAGGCAAGAGGAGGACACCGTGGTACCAAAAGAAACAATTTCGAGAAATCTTGTGCCTCGGCGGCGATCACAGGCTTCGGTGGTTAGCCAGCACCCATCTACTCACTACCAACCATGTATCGAATTGTCGGTAACAGCTCCTAAAAAGCTTTAATAAATAATAAACTTTTTTTTTTTTTTAATGTTTAGCTAGCATAAGGATAGACAGAAAAAAACATGAATTTAGAGGCTGATATCAAAAAAATAAAAAATATATATTTTCATCAAACATATACACATATTTAGTTACAAAAAGAATAAATTTATTTCTAAAATAATTTTAAAGTTAACATTTGATTATTATTTTGAGATAGAAAAAATAAATATTAGATATATAAACATAAGATAGTACCAGAAAAACTTTTCTTTTTTTATCCCGGAACATTAACCAACCCTTGACAAAATAACAGGCAACATGTCTAAATAATACCATTGCAACCAGATGCTTCATCACACACGGACACCACAGTAATGGAAGAGAATAAAAAGAATACTATTAGGAAGAGATTGGATCCGCAATTTATGATATAAACTAAGAATTTGCCCAGAAATGAATAAATAAAACATCAAAATTTGAATAAGAGGGAAGGAAGGGGGTTTGATTTTGGCTAGATTCTTTAATCTGAGCCCATCAGTGGCCCCCCGACATTGCTTTGCCTTGCGGTATTCCTTACAGCCTTTTCTTCCCTCCCTCCTTTTGTCCTAAAGTACATTCAACTATGTACAGAACACACACAACAAGATGACAAAAACTCCAATTCTCGACTTTTGAAGATACATTTAGCAGAAGTAGTTTCGTTTGCTTTCCTCCCACTAGAAGTACCTTTCTTTATCCCTTTCGATGTTTCCAATGGCCCTCTCCGAGCTGCCATTTTTTTGGGTTAAATTTTAAGGATTTGAGAGCACTTTACACCTCTTCAAAACCATTTCCCACAACATAAGTTGCTCCAACAATGCCTTACACTTCTTCATATCTTCGAAACTCTTTTATTCACCTGTAAAATGGCATGAATGAGTCAGCTTCAGTTGCGACTCATGAACACACACACACACACACATATGAAAACAATCAGACACCAAATAATAACAAACGAAGCAGAACGAGTTTGGCAGCTTAAAAAGGTTACAAAACAAAGCAAGCAAACTTCAAGCTAAGCTGCATATATGATAATGTTGTATGTTATAGGGTCAAAAGCACTACAGGCATAAGTTCAAGGCACAGTCTAATACAATTTGGTCGATACGATCATTAGCACTGAAAAACATTAGTTAATAATAGAGCTTGTATAATCTCGATAAAATGATTGCTATTTGCCACAACTAAAGACTTCAAGACAAAGAAACCTAAATTTAGCTAAAAAATATTCCCTCAAAGCAGGGATATGCTATTCTGTCACAAATCACATGACTTGCTGCTTAATTCATCACACCAAGGAATATCCCACTATCTTGCCCTCAATTACATCAGCAATAATCAATGAAGTACCAAGCCAAAGAAAACAATGGCAAAGAATTAAGGTTTAGGCCCACCCAGGTTAGAATTCATTTCAAAACCATAAAAAATCATCTAAAACAACATCAATTTGGTGTTTTTTAAGACGGAAAACACTTTCAATAAACACTTTCGATGCCGAAAACTTCCATCTTGAACAAATTTTATCCCAAGATCATACAAAATAAACAATTCTTGATAGGGGTGAAATTAACTAAATGTGGGTTGAATTGTGCACGAGAATGACATGATGACCAAGTTGGGAGGCAAAGACTTATTCAAGAGAAAAATCTAACCCTCTAAAATTCTAAACCAATCTTCGTAAATGTATCAAAGAAAAGGTTCCATCTTGGCTGACTTCTAGCCAAACACCAACGACTAATAAGCAACTTTTCTAGGTTAGATCAAGCCACACCATCCCAGTACCTATCCTAACATCATATTCAAACTCACTACGTCAACTCAGCTGACAAACTCAAACACAACAAAAACAAAACAAAAATAAGCCGAAACTAGAAACTTACCACATCATTAGTCCCGGAAAATGACTTTATCAGCAATTTTCATCAAAGGGTTTAAACAAATGGGCTCAAATTTCCTCGCAAACAAATACGAACTCGAATAATTTGATTGCCTAAGCTCTTGAATCAGAACAGGAGAAATCTCAGCAGCCTTATAAGTATAAGGATGTCCATTCCTAGTTCCAGTCCAATTAACCTTTGTCAACGTATACTTAGTACAACCATCTGGATCCTGCATTGACAGCAACGTTGGAAAATAATGTTCTTCTGGGTAACATTCATCTTCTCGATAACAAGGCAGCTTGAACTTATTCCACAGCCTCCGATCTTCAATCACCATGAGCGCGTGTCGGCGCGTGAGAACAAAAAACTGAGACCCAGCACGGAATTTCTCAAAGGGCACCTCTGGCATCATCGCATACTTCCCTCTAGCCACGTATCTTTTCCATAACCGCCGATCCTTCGATATAATCTCGATGAAACTCTTGTACTGGATTTTCATATTGTACTGAGTCGATTCGGGGTCTGACTCGGGGGAAGACAAATCGAAAGACTTGGAAATGATTAACGAATTGTAGACGTATTTGAAGGAATGGAGAGGGATGCAGTACTGGGAGAGGACGGCGAAGAAGGTATTGGTGGGGTCGTCAAGGATGGCCTTGGCGAGGAGGCGTCGGGTGGCGGAGATCAGGGTGGGGGAGGCGCGATAAGTGCGCTTGGCATCAGTAATGAATTGGGAGAAGAAAATCCCTGTGGGTTTTGTAACATTGGAGTGGGGATCGGCGTGGACGTAAATGTTGAAGAGGTTTTTGTCAGCGGATTTGAAGAATTGTTCCCATAAAGGGGCGAAGAAGAGATCTGTGTTGGTCAAGAAAAGGAAGGCGATTTTGAGTTTTTTAGATTTGGAGGTGAGATGGGAATGGGCTGAGGGGTAGTGGGCGGCAGAGGCGGATGCGGAGGCGATGGCTTTGCGGAAAAGAACAAAGTCGTCAAGTTCATCAGAAGGGGAGATAGGGATGGAGGGGTTATGAGAAGGGAAGATTCTCGGGGCTAAAAGGAAAAGGATAGGAAGGGATAGAAAGAGAGAGAAAATAAGTACAAATTGGGTTGAGAACATTTTAGTTCCAATTTTGATA